TAAACATTTTAAGAGTTTATTTGAGCAAAAATCAATTTGAATTGAGAAGTGGTTAGGAGCACTCCACCAGCAGGAGTTGGGGAGAGGCTTTTATAGAGAAAAGGCAGAAGCAAAGTAAGGAAATTATTGACTGGCTGTAGTTAGAGCCTAGTTGGTTGTTTGTGATTGGTTCTTAGCCTTTTCTTTTTTCCTAGTATTTTCTACTAGTATTTTATTTCATTTTATTTACTTACTAGAGGCCCAATGCATGAAATTCATGCAAGAGTAGGCCTTCCTTCCCCCAGCTGCTGGCGCCGCCTTCCCTCTGGCACCCGAGCTTCCTCACAGCCCCGGCTTCGTCCAGAAGGTTGTTTGGAAGGACATCCAGTCTAATTCGCAGATCATGCTTTTATTATTACAGATTTATTTATTTATTCAATTTATTAGGGTGACATTGGGTTTTTCTTAACTTTTTTATTTCATAACCTTGAGGCATTGATAGGTTTAGGTTTTGGTTTGCTAATATAAGCCATCATGGCATTAGAGCCACCTCGACCTAATGACCTTGTTTAATCTAACAGATGGCATTTCATAATAATGAAAACACTGATCTAACCATCACAATATCTTACTCCATTGAGAGACAGAGGACAGGAAGGGTACGGGTGTGAGTGTGATAAGGAAGAAGTATGGGGAGCCTTAAATCCACATATTCTGTAAAGAAATCATAAAAATGCGCAAAACTTGGACAGCAATCAAGAAGTAGTTCCAGAAAATTATTTAGAATTACAGACACAAATATTTTTTTTAAAATCTAAAAGAATTAGAGAGTAGAAAATGGGAAAAGGAATGAAACATCAATTGTAGAGATTTTTGGTTCCCTAAACTTTGCACATATGTAAGTTTTATTTTAAAAACTTAAAAACTTTTCATGATAACTGTGAAATGAAGACAGAAAGTGTAGAGCAATACTGCTAATAGAACTTTCTTTGATGATGGAAATGACATTCAATATAAAGCTACTTGAAATGTGACTAATGTGACTGAGAATCAAATTTAAATTTTCATTGTACTAATTAGTGTGCATATAAATAGCCACACACGGCCAGTGGCTGTCATATATACAATGGCCTGATGCTATCTAGGACCATCTTTGTTTCTTTAATAGACTCTTCTTTTTCCTGCCTTTTTTTTTTCCCTGTCCCTACTGGATCATTTCCATCAGCCATGCTAAAATATCATTTTTTCATCATCATTTTTAAAAATGGTGATTTGACTCCTATCCCTCTGTGACTCTCCACCCCATTTCTTTGTTCACTTTATAGCAAAACTCCTCAAAAGAGTTCTCTATACTTATGCTGTCCTACATGGCAGCCACTAGCCATACGTGGCTATTTAAATGTAAATTAATTAAAATTAAAGAAAATGTAAAATGCAGTTCCTTAGTTGCACTAGCCATCTTCCAGGTACTCAGTAGGCATGTGTGGCTAGTGGACACTGCATTGAACAGACACAGATTCAGGAAATTCCCATCACCTCAGAGAGCTCAGTGGGACAACACTGAGAGGCCCTGACAGGGGCAGAGGAAGCTGGTGCAGCTGCTGGTTGTTTGGCACATTTGGTGCTGCAGCGAAGGATAAGAAAGTTATCTTGCCCAGCCAGTGTCGCTCAGTGGTTGAGTGTGGACCTATGAACTGGGAGGTCACAGTTCGTCTCCTGGACAGGGCCCAGGGTTGCAGGCTCCATCCCCAGTGTGGGACATGCATGAGGCAGCCAATCAATGATTCTCTCTCACCATTGATGTATCTGTCTCTCTCTCTCTCCCTCTCTCTCCCTTTCTCTCTGAAATCAATAAAATATATATTTTTTAAAAAGTTGTCTTCTGGTTATTTGATTTTTCTCAGTGGATGAGAAAATAAGTTCATCAGCTGAGAGTGCGGAAGGCAGAGGGATGTTGAAGCATGAGAAGAAAGGACATGGCAGGAAAAACCTTGCCAGAGAGCAGGAGAGCAAATTGATGTGGACATAAAGAGCAGAATTTCCTCCAAGGAAGTTGGAATCATTATGTTTATTTTAATATGATTGTTGCTTTCCTCAAAGTCATTACTAAAGAGGCCATCCTTAAAATTGGCCAGTGTATGTGGGGATGGGAGCCTGAGCCAATTGTCTGGCTTCCCTCATAACGACTTTGAAAACAGGCCAGGCTGAGAAATCTGGCTGTGACCACAACCTGTGCAGCAGGAAGTACAGGGAGGTCTCTTCCTGGAGATATTTTGCAGTGATAAGTTATGGGAACTTCCTCAGTTAAGGTTCTTGTGATTTTAAGAAATAGAAACCAACTCGGTCAAACTTAAACAAAAAAAGGAGATGAACTAGACTAATACAGGGGTGTCTCCTGGAACCCACAGGAACGTAGCTGGGCCTCAAGGGGACTTCAACCAGAGGTAGCCAGCGGGACTAGAAAGCTCTCAGGGAACGAAACGGAATCATATTTCTCTCTTTCTTTCCTCCCTCCCCCTATAAACATGGTTTCTTGTCTCTGCTTCTGCTCAAGAAGCATTTTTTTTTTCCTTTTCTCTAAAGATCAGCTTTCTCTGCAGAATCCTCAGCACACTTGATGGGTGAGAGAGGGCTGCTGCCATATGCTTAGTGTTTTGTTTTTGTTTCTTTGTTAATCCTCATCCGAGGATATTTTTTCCCCATTGATTTTCAGAAAAAGTGGAAGAGACGGGGAGAGACAGGGAGCAAATATATATATTTTATTGATTTTTTACAGAGAGGAAGGGAGAGGGATAGAGAGTTAGAAATATAGATGAGAGAGAAACATAGATCAGCTGCCTCTTGCACAGTCCCTACCGAGGATGTGCTGCAACCAAGATACATGCCCTTGACCAGAATTGAACATGGGACCCTTCAGTCCAAGGGCCCGCGCTCTAACCACTGAGAAACTAGGCATGCTTAGTTTTTATTACCTAAGAACAAGAAAACATCTCAGATTAACAGGAACATCTCAGTCCATCTCAAACATCTAATTGAATCTGATGAGAAAATTTAGGACAACTGCCCCACTCTGGTACAAATAACTCTGACAGGTGACAGGGCCATGGGTACAAACACAGCTGCAGGGCCCATTCCCAGGATGTGGGGCTGTTCTCAGAGCTCCTTGGGGCCAACCCCTGGGAAGTTCCTCCTGTTCTGTTACCTTCCTCCGTTAAGGCTGAAGTGGGTGAGGAGGCATTGTCTCTGTCGGATTGCACAGCTTTCTCGGCCCACTGCCTGCCCAAAATTAAGGTTGGGGCCTCAGGCTTTTTAGACCAGGCTCGTGGTTTCTTTGGTCCTGTTGCACAACTCTCTAAAAATGTAGCTTTTTGACTATAGAAATGTGATCTGCTTCCAGACATTTCCATTGGAAGTGATCACACTCAGTATTCTCTCCGAGGGCCTTCCTGCATGCGCTTCATTTCTAGGCTTTCTTGCTCCCAAACCCGTCCACCTCTCTCTGTCTCTCTCAGTACTTTGCTGGACACAACTAGTAGCAACCGCGTAGCTACCAAGGGTCTGCTTTCTAACATCTTCCCCCTGAGGGTAAGTGATCTGCCTTCAAGGAAATCACAAGCAACGCCTTTAGCAAATCTTCCCAGCCTCTGAGATCAGGTTCCTCCTCGCCACTGCTTCATTGATAAGCCAGTATTTTAAGGCTTTGGATTTTTTTTCAGCAGTATATCACTTTTGGTAACATTTTCTTTCTTCCTTTCTTACTTTTTTTCCTTTTTGGTATTGGTCAGGGTAGGGTTACTTTAATATTGCAGTAGCAATTTACCATGAGTTTCAGTGGCCTTAATACAATAAAGGTTATTTCATATGCACCCCAGGTCTGAAAGGATCCAAGTGAGTCGCCAGGGCAACTGCCTTCCATGAGGTGACTCAGACGCTGAGTATCAGTCTTTGGCTCGTTGAGTATCAGTCTTTGGCTCGGTCATCTCAAGGGAGGGACTCAACGACAAGGGAAGAGATCACAGGGAAAATGCACTTCCCTTTTCTGAGCTTGGATCCGAAAGTGAGACACATCACTTCAGTTGCCCATTGGCAGGAAATTAGTCTTACAGCTCCACCTACCTCCAAGAGGGCTGGCAATTCTAGGGAGCACATGGATAATTGTTGAGCAGGAAATGTCTCTGCCACAGTCCACGGAGGCCTCCTACTGAGAGAGCAAAGCTGTAGGTCAAACTAGCCTGAACAGCAGGGCTACTGCAGGGAGGACCCTCTCCTGGGCAGGGCCCGACCTGCGTTGCAATTTGAGTGAGAAACAAAATTTTGTTGCATTAATCCACTGAGACTTAGAGATTTAATCTTTCTTGCAGCATAGTTCATCCTGTTCTGATTAATACAAAAGCATAAAAGGAGATAGGAGTAAATGAAACAATATAGCATACTTTCCCGGAAGTAACTGTAATGCCAATCAAAATACCAGTAGGATTTCCTTGGAGAATTTGCCAAAATGATATAAAGCTCGTGTAGAAATGAGAATAGCCAGTACAACTATAAATAGAATAATGAGGAAGAACTAATTTTACCCAATATTTTCAAAGAGTTAATAGGCAGAAAAATTCTAGGAAATACAGAAAGACATCACAGAGAAAGTACAGTAAATAACGAAGATGTTAACAGAGAATGGATATCCCAGAAATAAACCCAAGTACATTTTGACTATAAATAGCATGGTATTTTAAGTCAATGGGAGAATATGAATAATTCAGAAACATTGTTGTGACAAAAACCAGTGGGGGAAAAATTGCTAAAGTACTTCACTTCCTGTGTCCAAATAATTTCTAGGTGGATCAATAACTTAAATGTAAAACATGAAAAATCATTGGCTATTTTTAAAAACAATTTTGAACTGGGGAAGATCAAGGGACATATAAGACAAAACTGACACATTTATTATTATTTTTTAAAAGTACAATTTTAATTTATTTTCTCCCAGAGAACTTTTCGTCTCTCCTTAAGGACTTCATTCCTTCCATGGGCTTTGGTGGAGGTCATGGGGCAGCACCCACAGGTCTAAATTGGGGTGGGGGTGTTCGGTCCTTCCAGGCTTCACGAGAACGATTCCCGACTACCTTGCTGTGAATGGCACAGCCCTCACAGTAATGCAGCTTCACATACAGCTCGGAAAGCACATAGGCATCGAAGACACTCGCTTCGGAGATGTCCCTAACGGCTGTGGCCTCTACTGTGTTTTGAATGACAAACTTCTTAATGGCCTTGTCCGTGGGCACGCACCAGGCACAGTTGGTACAACAAATAGGGTGCAGATGGCCTTGGTCCTTTTTGGAATAACAACTGTTATTCCTTCTTTTCTTGGTCATCTGGGAAACAAGGACCCGAGAGAGGACAAATTTATTTTTGTAAAAATTAAAGCTTCTGCAAGATTGAGAATATTATATTCAAAATCAAGAGATAAACCAAAGGAGAAAAAGAATGTTTGCAACTGATATAATAGGAAAGGGGTTTTTTTGTTTTGTTTGTTTGTTTGTTTTTATTAAATCCTTATTGTTCAGATTATTACATTTGTTCCTCTCCCCCCCTCCCCATAACTGCCCTCTACCCAGTTCCCACCCTACCCTCCTCCCTCACTCCCCACTGTGGGAAACTGTTTATTGCCTTCACTATCTGATAAACATAGACAGAGAACACCCCGAAGGCTGGGTGCCTTTGAAGCCCTAGCAGAGGTCAGCTAGGCGCCACCTCTGTTTGTCCAGACAGTGGTAGCTGAAACTACTCCCCCATTTATTATTATGTAAATCCTTGCTGATGGGCTAGTCTGCCTGTTGCCAGGGGTCACCTGCCTAAGGGCTATGCTATGGGTGCATCCCAGATCAATAAATAGTCAGTCCACTCCCTTTCTATGCCCCTGATTCTATTATAATCACTAGTTCATTCTGTTCATCAGATTATTCACTTGATTTTCAGGGTTTATTTCTTTAATATTCAAAGAGGTCTAAAAATCAGCAAGAAAAAAAATGAACAATTTAATGAGAAAATAGGCAAAAGTTAAGCAGTTGGTAGCAAAACAGGGAAATAGACAATAAACATGAAAAGATCCTTTAACTTCTTAAATAATCAAAAACTATGACTAAACTAAAACAAGATAATATTGTACTTATTATGTTTGCAAAAATAAAATTTTGCTCATACTTGAGGGTATGGGAAACATGAAGTCTCATATTTTGTTAATGGACTGTAAATTCTTGCAAGCTCTTTGGAAAGTAGTTTGGCAGTAACGATTAAAATTTAAAAATAACATTCTCCCTAGCTCAGCAATTTCCCCTTCTAGGAATTTTTCCCACAGAAACACTTGCACAAGGAGGCAAATGTATACTGTACAGGGACAGCATGATTATGTTATTTGTAATAGTAAAAAACTAATGAAATTTAAATGCTTATCAGGAGAGAACTAAATAAACTACAGTGCTCTATAAAATGGAATACTACACAGCTGTTCAAAATCAATACATGTATCTGTATTGATATGAAAAAATGTCCAAACTAAATTATTTTATGTGGAAAAAAGCAGATAGAATACAGTATTATTACAAATGAAAAGTCCAAGGATCATCTTTTATACATATATTTATATACATGTGTGTCATATATAAATACAAATTTCTAGGGGAAAGAAATCATAGCAATGATTATGATCAGCTATAAATACATTATATGTGAGGGTGTAGGTGAAGAGATGGGCTTTTACTTTTCATGTTATACCCATTTGTATTGTTAGAATTTAACTTGTACAGGCATTATTTTATGATAAAAAACAACAACAAAGATTTAAACCATTAATTCTTCCAAGCAAATATCAATTTTATTTTTTTACCTGTCAATCTGTAGTTAAAAAGATATTGGCAAATACAGAAAATAGTTAGACATTCAGAATATGTTCTAAATTAGTGAACTAAGTCACCAATCGTAATGCAGGAGGAGCCACAATCTCTAGGAACTGTCCTGTTTCCCCTGCAAGGAAAACATCCCCAGATTTTAATAATAGCCTTTATCAACATTCCAAAAAGAAAATCAATAATAATAGTAATAGTTTGTATTTATTGAGCCGTGACTATGCTGGATTTGGCACTGAGCAGTTTTTATGAATTATCTCAGTGAATCCTCACAAACTCCAAGTAGTAGGGCCAGCTATCAGTTTCATTTTACCAGTTTGGAACTAAGAACTAGAAAGACAAACTAAGAACTATTACAAGAGATCCAGGGCTTGTGTTTCAAAGCATTTGTAACATGGTTTCATGGGGCTTCCAGGCTGACCGCACCACTTACTCTCTGAGTGTCCTCAGGAGGGTGACTTAACATTCCCCACCGGTAACATGAGAATAGTGACAGGACCTACCTTCCAGGTTTGTCATGGAGATTAAATGAGATGACACATGTGATGTGCTTAACTCTGTGCCTAGCACATAGTGAGCTCTCAATGAAAGTGAGCTATTGTGTTGTTTGTTGCAAGGCCATTAGAATGTGGTCTCTTCTTATCTATCCAGTCTCATACCTTTCCATTCCCCTTCCCATCCTCCTTGAACTTAATCTCCAGTCTTTCTAACCCCCTTGCTCTCCCCTCCCGTGGATTCCCAAGTCTTCTGTGCCTCTGCTGCTCGCTCAGGTAGTGTTCATGCCCACCTTCCATCCCTTCTTCACCTGGCTGACCCTTATTTATTATTAAGACTCAGGACAACTTAGGAATTACTTCTTCCAGGAAGCCTTCCTTGATCTCAACTTTCTGGGTTAGGTGCTCCTTCTTGAGTTTCATCATCCTGTGCTTCCCTCTCTCATGGTATTTGTCCAACTGCTAAACTGTAATGTCCTAAATGCTTAGTCTGCCACCATCCAAATCTGTGGGTTCCTGAAGTTGGGTTCAAGGTTTTCTTCATTGAGTTCCTCCAGTGCTTAGCAATAAAGATTTGCTAAATGAGTTAAGTGGGAACAGAAAGGAGAGTAAGCTACTTTTCTGCAACCTTTGTTGACCATCCTCGGAGCTTATTCCTTTAGGAAAATAGAATGTAAATCAGACAAGTGGGGTTATTCATGTATTAAATTATTTTATTAGTTCCTATTATTGTTCTAGGTGTAGAGGCCACCATAGTAAATGGGACAAAGAGTTCTGTTCCCTGGTGGTTATAGTCTAGCATGAGTGGGAAAGAGAAAGACTATCAATAAATAAGTGAAAAAATTTAAATAGCGATAAGTTCTGGAACAAAAATACAAGGTTAAGGGTAGAGAGTGTTAGGGAGCAAAGGGCTAATTTAAACTTTGCCGTCAGGGCAGGCCTCTGTGGAGGTGACCTTTAAATTGAGCCCTGACTGACAGGAAAGATCCAGTCTTGCAGAAGTCAGGGAGCAGAGCAAGTTGAAAGGCCCTGGGTGTGACTGAGTTTGCATTTTCACCGGCAGGAAGAAGGCCTGGGTGCCCAGAGCCCAGTTTTATCAAAAATGGGCCACAATGGGACCTAATAAGGCCTCTTAGGTCATGATAAGGTATCTAGATTTTGTTCTGCCCACAATAGGAAGCCACAAGGGTTTTACACAAGACAGTGAGATCATCTGATTTAATATTTTTAGAAGATGACTCTGGGCTCTGTGCAGAAGGCAAGAATCGAAGCAGTATCAGGTTATCACTGTGGTTCAATGAGATGATTGTAGTTGGAGCTGGAAATGGAGAATAGTGCATGAATTTAGGCTGTCTTGGGAAAGAGATGACAGGACTTGCTGATGGATGGAGTATTGGAAGGGAGTAACACGGAGTAAGAGGAATCTTTAAAGATCTTTAAAGAGAGGAATCTTTAAAGAGAATGATCTTTAAATTAGACTAGCAGCTGTATAAACCAAGGTGATGAAGACAAGAGGAGAAACAGGTGTGTGGGACAAGAGGGTGGGGAGGAACTAAAAGCTTAGTTTGGGGCATATTAGGTTGGAGATGCTGCTGGACACCCAAGTAGAAAGCACAGCAGCCAGTGGGCTCCATAAGCCTGAAGCTTGATGGGTACATCTGGGTTGGGATTCCAAATCTGCTGATCATCTGCAAATGTTGACATCTCAAGAGTGGGGAATAGGATAGAAAAGCAGGAGCAAGTGAGTGTGGAAGGATGGTGGGGGTAGGGGAGGGAGAAGGCAAGAGGAGAGGAGAGGAGGGGAGGGGAGGAGAGGGAAATAAGTGAGTGATTAAGGTGGGAAATCTACCCAGAGAGTCCACCCAGGAGAGGGTGTGCGATAGAGGCTGAGAGGAACGTGAGAGGTTGAAGACAGTGCTGAGAGGTCAAGTCAGATAAATGCAGCAAATGACTGGATTTGGCCGAAGGGAGGTCATTAATAACTTTGATAGAACCCTTTCAGTGGTGTGATGGGGTGGAAAGCTCAACTATGGGAAGTTGAGAGACTGAGGACTGAGAGGGTGACTCTAGACAACACTTTCAAAATGTTTTCTTGTGGGAAAATGAGTCTTTAGCAATTAGGAGAAGGTCAAGGAAGAGTAGTTTTGCTTTCTTTGATAGAGTTTGTTGATAGAATTGGGGAGAGAAGGGCTGGGTGCTGAGCAAGGTTCTGAGAAGGTGACTGGGATGGGATATGGGCACAAGCGGAAGATGAAGTTGGCTTGAGGGAGAAGCCAGGTCATCTGCTGTGACCACAGGGAAGGCAGGGCACCCGGAAGAGACAGGCCAGGCAGGTTGGATGGCAGAGTTGATAGCTCAGGGAAGGGTGAGAGAGGCCTCAGCTAGAGTGTAAGGAAGGGAGGAAGCAGGCAGAGAAGCCGGGAAGTGCTTCCTAGCAGAGGGGAGCAGTGAACAACCAAGGGACATGTAGGCAGGTCACAGGCACTGTGGGGAGCCCATCCATGTTTGTGATTATGAGTTAAAGTGAGACTAGTTCCTATACTTTCATTTCATCACTTTCAGCTCCTCAGATAGGCTAACAGTTGATGATATCATGGTCAGACTTTTGACCTGGAGCAAAGGTGCATCAGGGCTGTACATTCCTGGCATCTGAGGGATCAGAGCGGGCCTGAGGCCATACTGTGAAGCTTATTGTAGGAGTCGCCACATCTCTCCCAGCATCCTTTTCTCTCTTCTTCTTCCAGAGTACAGTTGTTTTGTCCAGGTGTTCACCAGTTTATGAGATTCACGGGAATCGGAAACTAAATTCATCTTCAATTCGGCTATGGGTGCTGGCATTTTAAACCATACCAACCAGATGGAAGGAGAGGACCTGATTTCATGGGTGGATTCCTGTTTTTTCTCTCTCCCACTTGGCGAGAAGAAAACCTGATATCCCAGCTGTTGGAAACAGGCTGTGGCTAACGGTGTGGAGAGTTGGGAATAATCTGGGACCCTGGTGACAGTAAGTCCCTGACTCAACCAGTCTTAGAGCTTGTCTATGGATGGATGGATGGATGGATGGTGGATGGATGGGATGGATGGTGGATGGATGGTGGATGGATGGACACACAGAGATGGACATTGGGAATAATCTGGGACCCTGGTGACAGTAAGTCCCTGACTCAACCAGTCTTAGAGCTTGTCTTGCTTCTAAACTTCCTGTTATTTGAAATAATAAAGCCCCCCTCCCATCCCTACACCTTTCCCTTTAAACTAGCTGAGTCAGGATTTCTGTTACTTGCAGCAGCAGAAGCATCCTCATGGGCACACTGTTTTTCTGGATTTACAGTATGTGAGAAATCTTCAACACTGGATTGACCGATGCTTGCCTTGCTCTCAATTGAACATACTGTCTAATGACAGAGCAAAGGCTCGTGTCCAGGAAATGGGACTGGGGTCGCTGGGGCACTTCTGCTCCCACAGTTTAGGTTAACCAAGAGGCAGATATGTTTGTCCACAAACTGGTCTGGCCAGTGGTGCTTGTTTTTGTATTTATGTAAACAAATGAAATGTGAATGAGGAAAAGAACTGCTGTTATGTAAAATCCAAACTGAATTACACTTGTAGTAATAGGAAAGGGAAAGTCGCTTAAAACAAAAACAAAATCTTGGAGTTTGGTATGGGGGAGACATATGTAAAATAATTGGTGAGTTTTGTTTAATCTAGAAGATTCTGAACTCAGATTGTTTCCCAACTGTCTTTGCATTCTCTCTCCACTTTAAAGATGCTGGGACTGGAAACCATCAACTTTTATTCTTAGAAGATCACACAGAACTCCAATCAACTCTCCCGTACTTAAAGAAGAGGCTTTGTTCCTTCAAAACATTGTCAAATGAAGGTAGATTTGCATGTTTTACTTTAATAAAATACTCAGAGTGGTTTCCAACTTTACTGTTTCTCTACTTCAACTGAACAACTGCTCTGATTTACCCAACTAGCTGCCAGTCTGGGGGCTTCCAACTAGACGTGTCCACTGTTCCCCTTCAGCTTCCCCCATGGGATCAGCCTACTGCCCCCCAACTCTCTCCTAACTCTACATCATCAGCTCCTATTTTTACAAAATCATAATTGCAATAACAAGGGTACCTTTCATTTTCATAAAAGGTCTGGAAGGATCTACCCTAAAGTGTTAACTGCTATTTCTGCATGAAGAGATTTCGATTTTTTCTTATCTCCATGCACGTGACTAATAATACTGTGAACTGGTATTGACTTGGCGAGAAACCTTGTTGTACATGAAGCAGAGCTGCATGCAAACGTGAGCTCAGCTGTACACCAAGCACCTCAGATTCAGAGAGAGAGTAAAGTTGGGCAAAGGGCCCTGGAGCAGAGGTTGCAAGACCTGATCTCTTCATCCTGACTTGATGACAACTGGTTTGGAGCTTGAAGAAAGTCATTTGCCATCTGGGTCTCTCTCCCTTCTTAGAACAGAGCAGCCAAGTGATGGGGCCAGATCCTCCCAAGGTTGGCTGGTGCACAGGAAACAACAGGCTACATCACCCTTGCGGAACACTGTTCAGCCGTTGAACTCAAGCATCTAAAGGCTTATGAACCATGTTTTGTTTTAATAGAGAGTTAGCACTTCCCCCTCCATTTATAAACGTCATTATAGAAACTTGGGAATATATAGACTAACACAAAGGGAAGAAAAAAATATGTTAAAATCCCACCCCTTGCCCTAACCGGTTTGGCTCAGTGGATTGTGCATCGGCCTGTGGATTGAAAGGTCCCAGGCTTGATTCCGGTCAAGGGCATGTACCTTGGTTGTGGGCAAATCCCCAGTGCGGGGTGTACAGGAGGCAGCTGATTGATGTTTCTAACTCTATCCCTCTCCCTTCCTCTCTATAAAAAAAAAATCAATAAAATATATTTTTAAAAAAAATCCCACCCCTTGAAAGGAGTTCTAGTCTAGAGATCTCCAGAGGCTGAAGCCTACTATTCTGAAAGTGCAGAGGAGGAGAGAGGGCAGGGTCACTGCAACCCCCTCCTGTTTTTTGTTTTGTTTGTTTGTTGTTTGTTTTTTCACTTCCCTGTTGTGCAGCGGAGAGTTACAGACTTTGACTCAGAAGTGGGGTTCAAATAGTTTTAACTCTGCCATATTGACTTGACACTACTGTCCCAACTTTCTTTTTTAATTTTTATTCTTAATTGTCGTAAAAATACAAATAACAAAATGTACTGTTTTGTTATGTATATTCACGTTGTTGTATAACCAATCTCCAGAACATTTCACCTTGCAAAGCCAAAACTCTGTGCCCATTCAATGACAACTCCTCATTCCCCTCCCCCCAGCCCCTGGCAAACATTATCTACTTTCCATTTTGTGAATTTGACTACTCTAGGCACCTCATGCCAGTAGAATCACATGGCGGTTTTCATTTGTGACTGGTTTATTTCACTTACATAACGCCTTCAATGGTCATCCATGTTGTAGAATGTGTCAGAATTTCCTTTTTTATGGCTCAATAGGACTCCATTGTATAGATGGACCATGTTTTGTTTATCCATTCATCTGTCGATGGGCACTTGGGTTACTTCCACCTTTTGGTTATTGCAAATAATGCTGCTCTGAACTTGAATGTACAAACAGCTCTTAGGTACCCTGGTTTCCATGGCTTAACCCCTTGAGTTTCCCTATCCTTTGCTGTAAAATGGGTAAAAGAAGAACACCTGCCTTCCACAACCCACAAGGAGGGTACTAGTAAAACAGTGAGGGCCAGGAGCAGGAGTGTTCACACTGTACAGAGCAGGAGTGGGGATTAGACAGGGCACACTGGCGCCCGCTGGAAACGCGTGGTAGGACTGATAAGGCTTGGAGAGACAAGAAAGACCTGCAGCTATTCCCACGTGAGCACCCATCCTCCGCCAGCCCCAAGGAGCCCCCCAGCCTGGCCCTCCCATTGCTCTAGCTTTCCTCCTTGTCTTTCGTTTGGTTGCCTGGCTTCTTTGTAAAGCTCTTCTTCCCTTCCTCTCTGCCTGGAAAAGTCTATTACTTTTCAAGGCCTTCTTAAGCAAGTGTCCAGTCTACAAAGCGTCTCTCTGGGAACGTAGGCATGTTCTGTATCACACTGAGAAGTAAAGCCATCTCGACCTGAGTCACCAAAGTCAGATTATCTGAGTGTATACGTAAATTATAGAACTTGGTAAAGCAACTCTTTCAGAAGCATAGGGTTCAGGGGGCTAAATCCTATCCTCATGGCCCAAGAGACATGTCTCTAAGGTGTCCTGTTTGCTTCCAGAACTCTATTGACTCAGGGGACTTAGGTCTGTAATTCCCCCAGTTCTAATCTTTCATAGGCCTTTGAGGTTCCTATTAACCAAGACACAACAATGACAATAGTGTCTTCATGTTGAAGCACTTGCTGGTTTACAAACCATTTTTATGTGCATTGTTCTCTCTGAGTCTCACAGTCCTTTGAGGTGGGCAGACAGGGGTCAGCACTTCTACTTCAGAGATGGAGAAGCAGGAGCTCAGAAGCACAGCCTGATGCCAAGAAGCCAAAACGGGATCATGCTTTCTGTCTCCTGCTTATGTGGCCCTTACAGGTGGAGACGTGATCGGGGTGATAAGCTGGGGGTCACCAAGGCCTCATCCGGGAGCTGCTCCCAAGTCAAAGAAATGGAGGGGATTGGAGTGGCTCAGGCTTTTCGGTTCTAACTCATGATAAAACAACAATGTAGATATAGAGACATACGAGTGTATAAGAATGTGTGCATAAGGAGAGAAAGAAGCAAAAATATTTCAAATATGAGAAAAAAGGAAAAACGAATAATGCCTGATTGATTGCAGACTGGCACTATCAGGTACATCTTGGAGTTAATTAAATTTGTAGGTAGCCATATTTGAAAGGCTCTCTGGAAGATTTATAATCCGGACTTTATCAACATGCTTAAACTATTAGCAAAAGAAAAGGCATTTTCTGTTGTTTAAAATGATGCCTTGACCTGTTGGACAAAAAAATCCATCACCTGTAAGTAGCTTGCTGCATTGCCATTAGGAGGAGTTCATGCTGTGAGAAAAATATAATTATGGCAGCTCTGAAGATGTGACCTTTTCGAGTCCCTCTGAAATGAAAGGATGTAAAAGGATTTAGCCACCTCACTAAGATGCCTGCTGCTGTTTGTTTCTGTTCTGCTCCATTCATTACAACTAACTACTCCCATGTAAATAAACAGTCACATGATCCAAGGCTTTGTGCTAGTTAATTAGAATATGTGCTCCATTGTCCACAATCCCCTTAGCTCCCTCTCTCACGGCTGTCAATGCTAAAGCAGTGGCTCGTGTTTTCATCTCGCTCAGAAACAACATCTCCTTCTTTTGTTGCTCCTGTAAAATGGCAAGACCAGCACTTACCAAAGGGTGACGTCTGCAAATTCCTGCGTCTTCACTTGAGTTCGAGGAAAATGAAATCCCACAAGTTTTCTTTGAGTGTGACTGAGAGATTGTCTATCTTACCTAGATCTCCAGTTCATTAGAAACTTTTCCCCAATGGACAGCGCTATTTGTGAGTGGTCCCTGCTCAGAGGAAGTTAAATGTTGGGAGTTGCTTTTCTTCAGAAATCCCCAGGGGCCTGCAGAGTGCCACGAAATTGGCTGTGGCTGTGCCTCTAATGTCTGAGACCAGCATTGCCTCAAGGCCACAAAGAGTCTAATCTGGGTGCTCCATGGGGACTCCGCAATGTTTGCAAATATTTGGGTTTGTCACATGGGGGGAAGAGGTGCTGCTGCCTCTAGTGGGTGGAGGTCAGGGGTGCAACTACACATCCTACGAAGTACAGGACAGCCCCTCACAACAGAGTTATCTGACCTGTATTAGTTTGCTAGGGCTGCAGTAACAAAGTACCATTGGATGCCTTAAACAGCAGGAAGTTATGTCTCACAGTTCTGGAGACTAAAAGTCTAAAAACCAGGCAGCATTGGTTCCTTCTGAAGCTGCGAGGGAAGCATCTGTACCAGGCCTCCCTCCTGGCTTGTAGATGGCTTGTCTTTCTATGTCTCTTCATACTGGCTTCACTCTATGTGTATCTCTGTGTTCAAATGTCTTGTTTTTATAAGTGGCCAGTCTTATAAAAGGTGGTGGATTAGGGCCTACCCTAATGACCTCATTTACCTCTGTAAAGACCTGATCTCCAAATAAGTTTGTGTTCTTAGGTACTGAGGTTAAGACTTCAACATATGAATTGGGGGGAGGACACAGCCTAAAATGGGTTAAATATCTTATGTAATTTATTGGATACTGTACTGAAAATGAAAACCAGAAAAGTAGGGTGGGTACTCACCATTAACATATACAGCTGAAAGCATTCCATTATGAAGTAAAACAATCCTAAGTCAACCATCATAAGTTGGGATCTTGTGTATAAAGAATGCTAATAGAGAGGAAATCTTTTAAAACAATTTCAAGTTATGGTGAACTGGAGATATGTTATACATTATAGAGGAATGTTCAAATATGAGCTACCAGATGAGTCTGACATGGGTTCATTTCCCACTCTGTCATTATTGCTGTGTAACTTTGGGAAAGTTAATTAACCTGTCTAAATCTTCCCCTCTGGTAAAAAGGAGAGATAATAAGAATATATACACTACAGATAGAGCTACAGTGAGGATTAAATGAAATAATGAATGAAGTGAGATTACCTTCCTAATGCCGTGACCCTTTAATACAGTTCCTCATGTGGTGGTGACCCCCAACCATAAAATTATTTTCATTGCTACTTCATAACTGTAATTTTGCTACTGTTATGTGTTGTAATGTAAACATCTGATATGCAGGATGTATTTTCAGGGGTTGCAACCCACAGGTTGAGAACCGCTGGTTTAATGCCTAGAATATA